ATATTATATTTATTATTATTATTTATTATTAAATGCCCTTAAAACAAAAATAATTGAGTAGCAAAAGAGACAGGCGTGTGGTGATAAACTTAGCCTAAGCAGGAATAATTTCATTTTCATGAGTTGGAAAATCTGAAAGGTATGTAAGGCCAGCCAGCTCCCGCATCGTGAAAGCCACTTCTGTATGACATTATAATTGCACCTGTTAGAGATGGACAAAGTTTTATAAATCCCTCCGGGAGTGTTCAGATTTGGACTGAGTCTTGCCTTTAGTTGTTGAACGGCGTCACTGCAAAAAAACATGCTGAGCTTTAGTCTCTTGCCATGCCTCGCAGCCAGCTCCTGGTAGCTGCACCAGCACGTGCCGTTGTGTCTGCAGATGGTCTTTCTGCCTTCTCTGGACTTGCTTTCTCTAGGTATACTAACCTATTGCTCGGAAACCCCCAGAGCCTCCTTCCGGGGGTAGTGAAGACCATATGGCAAGACATACGGTCCCCATGAGGCCTCCTTATGTCCTGGTTGTGCAAGTTGCTGGAGCGCGAGACTGAAGGCCAAGTGTCGTAGACATCTCTGTGTCACAGCAACACCATCCTGTCAAGTGTTGCTCTGCGTATGAGAGGAAATGTGGAAAGCAAACCAAAACCCAAATTCCCTCCTGTCATCTGCCTTAAGAAAGGGAAGCCATTTAAAAATTTTACGTTCCATGAAGATAAAATATTGGAAGTCTTTAGTTTTAAAGCTTCAAGCTGGAGTTTTCAGGAAGAGTGGAAGGAAAGAGCGATTCAGTTTCCCTGGAAGTCTGTGGGAGAAGGGACCCCTTGACTGTAGGAGACCCCAGCCCTGATACCTTCCACCGAATCTGTGTGAAGACAGCAGTTTAATTTAGAAAACTAAAAAGTACAGCTATGCTGGAGTATAAACCCTGCCGAAAGAAGGGGGACTCACAAGTTTCCAAAGAGATTTGGCATACAGCACGCACGGGGCTCCTCTTATTCCTGCCATTCGCACTTCAGCATTCATATATTTATTTTAAACTGTTACGTTTGAAACAATCCTGAAGAACCTTCCTTCGTGACCTTGTTCCTGGTGGGTCGTGTTCTGTGTTTCCCCCAGCTGGTACTGCTGGGCTGCCCCGTGCGGGACTGGCTGGTTCTCCCCTACCTGTCCCACCACCCACACACAGGGAGGAGCAAGAGGCAAAATTAGCACCCAGCAGTAAAGGGAATTTTCTTGTCCTGTATTTATTTAACCTGTCGTGCATGCCAGACCATAATTTGACCCCTAAATAGAGTGATTGAATTGGTTTGTTTGTTTTAAATGAGCTGCTAGGAGTCATGGGGAACCATACATATTGATTCAGTATGTTAAATCTTAGCCATTATACGGACACAAATTCTGGATGAGTTAACTTCAACAGAGGTTAAAATAATGAATGGATTTTTTTATGATTTGGAGTTGTAGTCCACTGCTTCAGCTCTATGGAGCTGTTATGTTATTTTTTTAAAAAAAATCAGGTTTTCTTTCTCAATATGTCCCTAAAGAAAAGTTGTTCTGAAAGCGCTGAGTTTATTCAAGGCTGCCAGCATTTCAGCTTGACAGTTTCAGTGGGGCATATAAATCTCTAAACAGCAAAGGAGTAAGTGGAAATCTCGGGTTAGTTTAGTTCTTGGATTGGTACAATTCCCTTTTTCTAAAATTTTGTAGGTGAAAAGGAATTTTAAAACACTTTAAAAATACCTGCTGTTTTGGTTACATGGCAGTTTCTCAGTTTAAATCAAATGCGTAGGAACCCGGTTTGCCATCTGTGACAATGCTCTATGCTTCTTGAAAGAATCCCATGCAGAAAGACTATTACTCATAAAATTTATGTTCTCTAAACTCTGGACATTATTCATAATTTTTTTTTATTGTTAGCCTAATTCTAAACAGTTTGGCTACAGTGCTTTATTGCCTAAGCTACAAGTGAAAATTCTAAGCACATGCCTTTTTTTTTTTTTTTTTTTTACATTTTGTGTGGTAATACACTGCTTTAAACTTTAATTTAGTGTAGGAATGTTCTTTCAGTGTTCGCAGTAGAAATTTGACCTTAAAAAAATCTACAAATACAGTAAGAAAATCAACCATAAACAAAGGAGGTGTTAGTTCTTAGTGTTTCTTGTGCTGTGAGAGATGATAGGTAATACTTCATGTATCACAAATCATCTCTCTACAGCTGTTTTTTTTGTTTACATAGGTGAAGATGTCAAACCATTTACTCCTGGGAAAGCCAAGGAAATTGTGATGTCTCTACAGCGACCTGCAGTCTTCTGTAACATGGTTGGCGACTGGCCAGCCCTGCACTGGAATGCGAAATACCTTTCTGCGGTGTTGGATGGGAAGACGATCCAGTTTAGGCTAGGTCTGAAGACGGTGGATTTAGGTGAGACTGAGGTGGACTGGTGTTACATGTCACAACTCTCGTTTTTAGGTTCTGCAGTCCTCTGCCTCTCCATTATCACTGTTCACTCTCTAATGTATTACTTTTCACCACAGGCTTTGCTTTTAGGGCATTGGGTTTGGCCAACAGTGGAACTCTCTCTTTCTTGTGTGTTTATTCTTAGTAGGAAGTCTGGTGAGTAACACTAACATGAGAATCAAGCATCTCCGTTTTCTTTCCTTGCTTTGTATGTGTGGTTGGTCCTGGTCTTTTACATGATTCAGATGTTCATGTGAGCTGAGCTTCCGTATCCAACAAACCTGAGTGCGTTAAAAAATTAGCCAATTAACTGGTCTATCTTGTTTTTTTTAATCTGGATAATGGTAATAATTTTCACCTTCCTCTCAGAGGTTTTATAAGACCATGGTTGTTTTCAATCCTTTAAAAGTCCTGTGATGAAAGATGCTATAGAAGTATAAAGCATTAAGAAAATTACTTGACACCAGTACAATAATCTCACCTCTAACCCTCCAGATTCACTCTGACATCTAGGAACACGCCATGTGAGAAAGACAATTTTTGCATTTGATTTTAAGAACTACAACTCCATTTTGGTCTGTAGCCACACAATACTAGTCATAGTCTGTCCATGGACAGAGTTTCATACCAGGGAGGGAAGATACAGGAAACGTGCTCCAAGGTGGCAATCCGCTAGCCACGTATAGACCATCACATACACTTCAGGAATAATGATGACTACTTCTTCTGGTTTAATTTCCTTTTAATATTAACTGTTATTTTCTAGGAGTTAACCAAAACTGAGACTAAAAACTTCAACATCTTGGACAGCAAGAACTTCCTTAGTAGCTAATTTAGATGGACAAAAATCTTTGAAAAAAAAGTAAATTGCTTTTAATGATGATTTCAGTTCCTACAAATTCAATTCGTTATTCATGCCCTGTACATCCTTTGCCCTCCCAACCATATAGCAAAATACATTTTGCCATGCACTTTCTCCCTTTTGCCTAAAGCATCTTGTCTCCCTTCAATCTTTTTTTCTCCCTAGGCCAGACAAACCCAGTTCTTAAAAAATGTTCAGTATAAGTCACGGTTTTTTAGACCCCACCTAGCTATTCTTTCTGTACTTTTCTAACCTTCTTCAGTTGGACCACCTCTTTCTTGGAATACAGGGTCTGCACAAAGACTCCAGATGATGGTCTGCCAGTTCCTATGGAAGTGGTAGGATTACATCACACCGTTGTCTTACTTAACAACACTGTGTTACTGACCATATTATTTCATGTTCGGTTTTTGCAAGAGAAGTGATGAAACAGAAGGAGGTGTTAGAGGGAAAATGCTTGGCATTTCAGGATTTCAAAGCATTTTACCAGCATTGATTAATGATTCCTATGCCATTCCTGGGAAAACAGATGCTATTTATTCACTTTCTACAGATGGGATAACTGAGGTGTAGAATTAATACATTGGTACACATCTTCACAGCAACATCTCTGTAGTTCGATGAGGTATCAGCCAGTTCTTGCACTACTTGTGAAAGGCATCCCATTGCCATTAGGGAAGAAGTTACATATAGATAACATTTTCCTTGATGCCTTGTTAATATATCTCAGTTGTAATATGCAAGGCTTACCAGGTAAAAGGATAGTTGTGGTCCTAGTCTCCATTAACTGGTAGGCACCTTTTGAGAGCCAAATGGGTATTCCAGCTGGGAAAGCTGCTGACGGGATTGATGAAGTGTTATGTAGCTAAGTGATGGATTGATGCTACCAACTAAGTAGATAAGAGTCATCACTTAGCAATAACTTGTAGTCGCTAGGGCTGTAGGGCAGATTTAAATTGGAATTTGTATCTTGAAGTTGCATCTATCTGTATTTTGCTTTTTCATAAAGGCATCAATCCCTAGGCAGCAATCGGTTTGTCTCCAGGAACCTCCATTATATGCTAACGTGAGCTAGAAATGTGTTCAAGATGGGTAGAGCCTTCAGGGGTTATATTGTAACTGAATGAGACCTGTGATGCTATAAAAAAATTTGCATTGTAAGGATATATCAGTGAAGCCATTACCCAAGCCATCTCAGAGTCTGAAATAATGTAATACATTTCATGTGCCACTGTCATTTGGAAGATGGTTGATCTCACTCTTGTGTGCTTAACGTTGTTTTTCAATGAGGGCCTCTCTTTCTTACCGTTGTTCATGCTAACTTTCCCAGATGAAACTGAGGCAGTGATGTGGTTAGAGAAAGCAACAGGAGAATACAACTAAAATTGTATTGATCTCTCTGATTAGTCCTCCCATGTTTACAGTAGATTCATTGCCTTAAGACTAGACGGGACCACTCCTGCCACTGCGTTGGAATCATATGCAAGAAAGAAACTGTTCTCCTGCTTGTGGTTATATTTTGGTGTCACTCTGAAATGGCTGCTTCAGAGTTTCTGAGGTGATTTAAGCCATGAGGTTCATCTGGAAGATGCTAAATAATTTGAGACCTCTTACTATGACAACTTCTCATCTTTGTTTAGTGCACATCTGCAGCCTGGGGGGGATTCCCAAACTGAAGATTCCTTAATATAAAAAGTGAGAACTGCAAATGGGGCAACTTGGTGGGAGTTGCTTGGATTTTATATTTGCTTTTCTTGCTAGTTTGGAACTTCCTGAGGCATATGGATGTGGAAGGCACATTTGAAACATGGAAAACATGGGAGCTAGCAGTATTATTTGTGTGAATTATTTGTACCTACCTAAGTTTGTGTGTTTGATAGTATTCTGTCTGATTACACAAGTTAAACAGTATGTGTCCATAAAAGGGGCAAAAATACAATCAGAGGATTAAGCATTGACAGAGATACCTCCAGAGAGAGTACCAGCATTCGTTACAAGAACAATGAAGGTGCTGTTAATCAGGAAATCCCTATCCATCTGGTTCTAGCCACGTGAAAAGATTTATTTTTCTGAGGTGAGGCAAAGGGTGAGGAGCAGCTATGGAAGTTGAGTTTCTGGCAGAGAAAATGCAGCATTATAGTCCATCTATCTGATGGCTACCTGGAGTACACCAGCAATTACAAAGGAAGAAGAAAGCTTAGACAAAACTGACTTCTGTTTGCAGATGTTTCTTATTTTTAGCATTTTCTCTGGTTGTGGAGTAAAATGAATAAACAATGAGTTTACTGTGAAGAAGCTGGAGAGAGCAAGAGGTTGTCATGCTGATCAGTTATGAATCACAGGATCTCTGGAGGAAATTTCTCTTAGAGATGCTGGATAGAGCTGATGCTGTCAGATACGCAGTTGGATAGGAAAGGGCTGCAACTTGGACATCTGCCCAAAAGGTTGTACCACTGAGGATGGCGAAAGAATTCAAGCCTCTGAGGTTTGATACAGAGAGGGACTGCAAACGTGGCTATAGACTCAGTAGCTGAATTGGAGGCTACAAATACAAATACCGTACACTGAATAAATGTCGCATAAAGCTGAGATTTGAGAGGGTTATTGGAGTTGGATGTGGATGGCCAGTTTTTCGGTTTGTGAGTGTGCCTGTGCTTTGTTATAATATTAAATGGCTATTCCTCGCTTGGATTATTTGTTTAAATAATTTTAATTCCCCAGCAGCTGTGAATAGACATTTGGTTTTCTTTTAAGTTTAAAGAAAGGGAGAAGACATTTCACTTGCATTCTTGCTGGAGCTTTAGGGTATTTTCTAAGGCTATTATCCTTTTTTTCTACAATTCCCTTATTATATGTTGCAAACACTGTCTTTCTGAGTAGAACAGAATTTGGCATCTGTTGGGACCAGACCTTAACTAAGGAGGAGAGCTGCTTCCTCCAAAAAGCACGTCTTCCCTCTCTCCCTCCCTCCGGTTTCAATTTGTGGCATTAGGTGGGAGAGAGGAGGATTGTCATGCCTTCAAATACCATGTCATCAGACAGCACTGGTAGCTTACTTCAGACTTACATGGCTTAATCTACAATTTATCAATTATGAAACACCTTCAGCTTTTAGTCATTAAGTATTAGCAAACTGGTTAATAATGTTCTTGCTTTCAGCTGCCCATTGCTAACATTTTCATCCTGGTTGCAGCCTACAAATCCATCTAAGCAATCTGTCTAGATTGCCCAAATACATTTTTTATTACTATTTATTTTTCCATAAGCACCCACACCTTGGTACTGAACAAGTTACAAATTAAACCAAGAACCCTGCCCTGAGGAGATTGTATCCTAGAAGATAGTCTTGCCTTTCATAGTTGGATTTTTTTAAATGAAGCTCAGAGTGAAATACACTGTGAGGTAGAAAGAGCCTATTTCTTGCCTTTAAAACACTTGCTCCTGAATTATCTTGGAAGATAGGCAGTGTCCTAAGCTCTCTTTGTTCTCATCAAAATAATACAGATATTGAGCCACCTTCAGTAGTGCTTGGATCTTTTATCTAATTTTTCCATCAGACCATCTTTTAGTAAAATGATGTGCATTAATGATTGGGTGTCAGGAGAGGGCATTGGACTGCAACACAGACAAGAAATCAGATATAGGAGGTTTTGGTTATTGTAGGTGATTTATATGTCTTGTATGCAGTTCTTAGGTAGGGAGCCCTTCTACTGCACAGACCCTGGTTACAGATTGCTGAATAGCGGGGCTTATATGACATTTTTAGTTAATGAATTTGATAGTGAGGGGAAGGAAAACCACTGCCTAGGCTACTACAATGGAAAACGGCAAAATGATAGTGATAAAGGTTTGTAAAAGCTGTTCTCCTGCCCAAAGGGAATAAGAACAAATGTATGAGACTCTATGGGAATTGCTGCGATAACAAAATGAGAGCAGTAAAGAACGAAGAGCTGCTGCTGCACAACAGTGAAAGGATCCCATTTCTGAGCAGCTCTATGCAAGTTATACAAGGTTAAATTGTAGCTCTGTCATTGTCATTCATGCAGGCTGCAGTAATTTTTTTCCCAGTAGTAGTTATAGTAATATTTTTTTTTAACATTGGATGTCTCTTCGAAGCTGGCGCAATTAGCAGCTGTGGGAAATGAAGATCTCTGATTAACCACAATTAAAGTATGCTGTGATGTGGGTTATCTTGTAGGCCTTCCAAGTGACCTGACCTTGAGCTTGAAAGGCTGTATCAGTCAGCCTGACCAAAGCATGACGGGAGCAAAACACTGCTGGTAAATACTTTTTATGTCTGCCAAGGAACACCGCAATATGCTTTTGTCAGTCCCAAATGAAAAATAAGGACACACAGCATTTTAGATGGATCTTTGGCATGCATGTGGCTCCATAATTTGCTTCCTACGCATTACTGTGCTGATTTGGTTATTGCTTTAGGGAAAGGGAAAGATTAACATGTCCATCTACATAAATGCACGGAGACAAAATAAAGGGTACACAAATACTTGCGTGCCCATTTGCAGCTCACACTTAAGAAGGGAGATGAAGCAAAGGACAGGCTCTCAGTTGTTTAGGGAACTTGGGCGTATTATTGAGTTACTGTGCTGAAGGGTGCCTTGCACATGAACAACAGTAACTATTGGTGTGCTTTTACCTCACAGCAAGTTCAAGGTAACAGCTATTCACTTAAACCTTAATGAAAAAGCAACAGTCTCAGACTTTAATCATGAGGTAGGTGATGAGAACCATTTTATTGACCAGAGTCAAGCCACCTAGTCCCACTTCATATCTCATGTTGCATTTAGAATCATAGAATCATAGAATCATAGAATCATTGAGGTTGGAAAAGACCTCTAAGATCACCGAGTCCAACCATCAACCCAACACCACCATGCCCACTAAACCATGTCCCTAAGCGCCTCATCTACACGTCTTTTAAATACCTCCAGGGATGGGGACTCCACCACTTCCCTGGGCAGCCTGTTCCAATGTTTCACCACTCTTTCAGTAAAGAAATTTTTCCTTACATCCAATCTAAACCTCCCCTGGCGCAACTTGAGGCCATTTCCTCTC